TTAAAAAAAAAATAATCACCAAAAATTTAGCATACCTATTGTTATTAATATAAATCTCAGAAAATTTTATTATATCTATCTATTGTACTATACCATTAAAAAAATCTTGGAAAATTTTTTTATTAACCTTATTAAATGTAATCTATTGTTTTATTTATATTACTTATCAGTAATATTAGTGTTACTGTAAACTATAAAAAAAATCTTACTAAAAACAATTATTAACTTCAGTTAATAAGTTAATTGTTTATTACCAATATATTGTTATTAAAAAAAAATCATAGAAAATTTTTTTATACCAAACTATTATTAAAAAAAAATCTCATTAAATTTTTTTATAAATCTCACTAACACAATCTATTGTTATAAAAAATCTTTTATTAATTTATTAGTATACTTTCAAAAATAAACTCACTCACTATATCCAAAAGTACACTAGTTATATTATTGAGCTTTTATATTGCTATGATCTTTATGCAACATAAAAATTCATTATACTCACTATTATACTTGTACTATCACATTGCACAGATGCTACACATGAATTTTAGGACTACCATTAGAACCACATAGTCAAGAGGAATCCAATGGTGGTAATTTTGTCTCAATCTGACCTCTGGATAGCGAGAAAGTTAAGAAAATACTAGAATATTATAATAAAAGAATGCTAATTAAGAGTGTGAATAGTACATAATACTAAATTAAAGCGTTTATTAACATGGAAGATAATCATATCAAATATTAGTTAAATAATGAAATATATTTATTTTCTGTTCCTCTTTCAAAATAAAAAAAATTTTACTTTTTACTATCCTTTAAACTGTAGGGGCTAAAATTAATTTTAAAAATTTTTGAATTTTTAAAATATCTTAAGATCTAGTGATCATAGAAAAATGAAATTATATTTGTTAGATTCCTCTTATTAAGGCGCATTTAATGGTAATAAAATCATAACTCTAAAATTGATAAATAAAAGGTTATATTAATTTATAAATTTTTAGATTTTATAAGTTATCCTGTCACATAATATTTGTAGAAGGACAATTTTATTTTTATCAGATTCTCCTCATTAAGACGCATCAAATGGTGGTAATTTTATATTTCTAGGGTTAATAGATAAAAAGATATTTCAATTTAAAAAATTTAGCTACTATTTGTTATAATTTGTTGATCATTTACCTTTAAAAAATCATTAATCAAATTGAACTTTTTTTTCAATTTTTACTTAGAAAATACTATAGAATTTATTACAAAAATATTGGTTTATGTAATAAAATATTTTAAGGTATTTAAAAGTGTCTTTAATTAAAAAACAAAATTGCAGGCAAATTTGGCTGCAAAATAGTTTAAGGGATAAATTGCATTCGTGATATCAAAAAAACTTACCATCATTCTTTTTGCCGGGGTCTGTACTAATTTAAAAAGATTTTAATTTTGGCACGGCACTCTTTTTTCATATTAAAAAACGTATGGCCTAGACGCTAACATTTGAATATATAAAGTTAATATTCAAATATACATGCGTTGTACAACAAGTTCTAAAACATAGATGATGTACTACTGTAACTTTAAATAAAATAAATAAAATCAAATGATTTACTAAAATCAACTAGCCCAGTAACACCCGAAAAAATCATCCACTTATCGTCCGAACAAAGAGGTACAGATTTACTGAATAGGAAAAAATAGAACTTTGTTTTGTATCGGGGAATCTTACCACACTACCCTGTCACAATGTAAATAGTACTTTAAACGTGGTAGTACAGGTGACATATAATACGGGTGACAAATAGAGATCAGGCTAGTAAAAGTCTCCAAAATATGAATCTTGACCCTAAAAAAATGTAAACAGGTCAGCACGTGATTATGTGACAAAATCATCACAGGGTAGTGTGGTTATTAAGGAGAGACAGGTCATTTTATACAGTACTACAGATGCGTAACAAAAAATAATTCATCTCTCTCTTTTTTGTAATTTCCATTTTATCATTCAGTATCATCGTTGTATTTATAATGAGCTATGAAGAACACACTGAGCGATTGCCTTTATCATTATGTTTAAATTCATTATATTTAAATTCTAATACCATATTTGCTAATGATATTAATCTCTATTACGAACTGAAAAGATTTACACAATGGTACATCACGCGTAGACCTGCATGGGTGCTCGGTTGAGATTGCAAAAAATTTGGTAAGCCATGTTATTAAATTTTATTATTCCAACCAAGATTGTGATACTATCTTTTCATTACTGGAAGAGGTAATCACGTCAACAGTAAAGGTGAACGTGGTACTCTATTCAAGCTATTCCCACAATGGTTGAAAGAAGAAAATATTTTTCACTTGGTAGAGAAATACGAATCCCAAATAGGCGCATATGAGGATACTTTAAAGAAAAAAAATATGGAATCTAGACTGTCTTGAAGTTTGAATTTCTTCATTCATTAGCAGAAATGGGTTTACCCAACTATCAATTTTATCTTGGTGTAAAATATAATACTGGTAATGGAATTAAAAAAACCAACAAAAAAGCAGCAAAATTGTTTCGAAAAGCAGCCGAACAAGGTCTATCCCCTGCACAACTTATGCTAGCTTATTTGTGTATGATCGGGAATGGTGTACAACATGATTTTCAGCAAGGATTGCATTGGTATCATATGGCTGCAGAACAAAATAATCCAATAGTTATGAGAAATATTGCGATGCATCGTTTAACCGAAAAGGATTACAAAAGTGCAAAAGATTTAGTAATAATAATAGATTTCATTATCATTAAAAAAAATTTAACATTATTAGAACGTAAAAGAACAAAGGATTCAAAAAACTGAAGAATGGTACCGAAAAGCTGCTGAAGCTGGTAATCATGGAAAATTAAATCTAGGAAATCAATTATTAGAAAATGGTAACAAAGGGAATCAAATGGGTTAGAGAAGCAGCTATAGAGGGATTAGCTGATGCACAATTGGATTTAGGGGAAGCTTATTATTTACAAGGTATGTCGATGAAGGAAAAAAAATGGTGGTTAAAGTCAGCTATGCAAAATGCAGGTAAACCTAGTGGACATGCACAACTTATCCTAGGAAGACTTACAAATGATTCCGAACAATAATTAAAATGGTATCAGAAAGCTGCTGATAATGATGTAAAAATGGCACAAAAGGAGCTTGCGCTAATGTATCGTATTGGAAATTGTGGTCTTAAGAAGGAAGTGGTCGAGTTATATAACGCAGCTGCTAAAGATACAAAGCACTATGCTTATATTGAAAAAGGAAATTGTTGTTCACAGTATAATTTGGGAGAATGCTGTGAGTTAGGATTATTGAAAGTAAATAAAAATCCTAAAAAAGCACTTAAATGGTATAAAGAAGCTGCAAAACAAGGAGATATACTAGCGCTTATGAGATTAGGAATCATACAAGAAAATAATCTAACTTTGACGAATATTCAGAAAAAGCTAAAAGGAATACACACACTTCCAACGTCAGAAGAATTGGAAGAGGTAGACATATTAATATATTTATATGTTTACAGTCCTTCAACTATATTTTGTTCTTTCAAAAAAATAACCGATGAATTAAATGACTAATGAAATTCGTGGATATGCGTATTTTGATCGACACAAATTTGTTGCCGCAACGTTGCAACCAGTTAAAACATCAACCTACTTCGTAAGGATGCGTAACTTAATTTTTGGTTTTATCCTAATATATTTTGTGGTTTCTTTCATATTATATCTTCTATATCTTTCATTATGATTTTTAACAGGATTATACTTAAAATATAAGTGATTCATTTTGTGGATTCTAAATTATACACAGTTAAAGAAAATAAATTTATACATTGCAACTAATAAAAAAACATGAATACTCCTATTATTCTATACACGCGAAAAAATTTAGATTTATTATTGCATGTCCTAAACCAAAACGAGAAAAATAATAGGATCACAGTTACAAAATTTTATTAATAAATAGCCAAGATATTATAGTTTGATCATTGTAAAAAGAAATGGTACAGGGTTTCTGTTAATTTTTGATTAAATTTTGTCCGGTAAAAAGACTAAGGATGGAATCAATCGTGCCTGCTATAGAACTATGGCAACGCTCGAGAAATCTTTCCCACCATGATTTATCTGCTGAATTGAGGCCTGCAAATAAGACAAGTCAATTATTAGTCTCGTAAAGGTATCGAATAAAATAAAGCTCTCTCCTAACTCACCAAGTCTTTTTCTACGAGCATCATCATAATCCTGCTTAGTCATTAATTGCTTTTCATAACAATTCTTGAGTTCAGTGAGGTCTTCTTCAAGACCCATATTTCTGTTTTTACAAGTTTTAGAAATACTGTAATATGAATACGGAAACTTTAATAATATTCAGAAATTGATTTTGGAAGTTTCGAAAAAGTTTTCGTGCAAGCTAAAAGCATTTAATTAGAATGAATGATTCGGATACAAAACAAAATTCCATTCCTATTTAAAAGGTGTGACTCTTTCTTGTACCTGCATATCCGCCAATCTGCATAATTTCCTCATCAAACATTATTGAAATACTTTCTTATAGTAAACAAATATGTATGGAGTACACTGTACACACTTGCGTAGTTGCGTGATGCTCTCTCCTAACTTACGAGCATCATCATAATCCTGCTTAGTCATTAATTTCTTTTCATAACAATTCTAGTGAGGTCTTCTTCAAGACCCATATTTCTATTTTTACAAGTTTCAGAAATACTGTATTATGAATACGAAACTATGATAATATTCAGAAATTGATTTTGGAAGTTTCGAAAAAGTTTTAATTAGAATGAATGATTCGGATACAAAACAAAATTCCATTCTTATTTAAAAGGTGTGACTCTTTCTTGTACCTGCATATCCGCCAATCTGCATAATTTCCTCATCAAACACTTTCTTATAGTAAACAAATATGCATGGGGTACACTGTACACGCGTAGTTGCATGATGTTTTCAAGTCCATCAAGTATCAAAGTATCCATAGAAATTACCTTAAAAGATTTCTTTTTACTTTTTTTCTTTTGTAGTGTCATGTTGTACGAATAAGCCACATGAAAACAAGTTTAAAACAAAGCAAAACAAACCATGACTCTACTGATCACATATAAAGGTACAAACTCCGAAAATTGTCACTAAAAATGGATCTCGATTCAAAATTAACAGAGAACAAACGACAATTCGAGTCTGGAGAAATCAGTGAAAATGACTTTAAGAAAAAGAAAAAAAAGATAATAGATGAGTGGTTAAGCAAATCGAAAGAAGCTAAACAACCTGAACATTCTCATGGTAAGTGTTACCTATCTTGTTAAGGTAGACCCCACGTAAAAGCGCTTATCCCGTCATTGCTATAAATCAAAAGAAACAGACTTGTATGCGGCTCTCCAATTGACACCCAGCGCTACTGAAACTGAGATTAAATCAAGTTACAAGAAACTTGCTCTGAAATATCATCCTGATAAGAATGGCGGTGTTGAAACCGAACAGGTGAGCTTCAGATTTTATTTCTTTAATTACCGTTCATATACTATATTAACTTAATGTTCTAATTACAGTGGACTAAACTTTCAAAGGCATATCAAATCCTCTCAGATGAGAACAGTCGCGTACTTTACGATAACTACGGAACAGTCAGCGGCGGTAGGTCTCAATCTTTTTTGTATTTAATAATTTTTCATTTCTCTTGATTCATCTAATTTGAATTGATTTTAGCCTTTGCAAATAAAGCATCGTTCAACTGCTATGTAGGAGGAGAACTTTGGAAACCCTACATCGGTGACCTGGAAATTGGTCTCTGGGTACACTCATTCGATAGCAATAGTTCACCCGAATTAGAACATGTAACCTCGGTTGAGCAGAAAGAACGTCGTCATAACATTCGTGTTCGCAACATTAGTAGTCATCTGCAAGACAAACTTTCTCAATTCCCGGAGCAAATTGATCCTTCGTTTAAGCAAAGTCTTTCCCTAGAAGCCCAGAAACTTCTTGCGGAACCTAACGGCAAAGAGTTATTATCCTTACTAGGCGAAATTTACATTTCTGAGGCCAAAACATTAAGCAATGACATATTCTCCAAAAACATATTCTCTAATCTTTTTAATGGCTTCATGTTTACTTTGGATTTAATTCATGAAGTCGTAACAAACAAGGCTAATAATGGGTCAGATGAAGAGGTAAAAAAAATAAAAGTGGCCTGGAAACTTTCACGATCAGAAATATCTTCTATTACGCATGAAACCTGTAAGAAAGTTCTCGATAACACGGAATATAGTGTGGATAAACGCAAACATCTTGCAAATTCACTATTTCTCTTAGGCAAGTTGTGGGTGGAATGTGCAGATACGCCCCAGTAAAAAGCAATTGTATAAATTCATATAGTTTTTGTTTAGTTTTTGTAATAATTGCCTAACTTTTGTTTAATAATTGTTGAATTTAAACACTTTTTATTTTTTTTGTAAGATTTAAATGTACAAATATTGTAAGATTTATTAACATTTGATAAATAAAATTGAAATATGATTTATTTTAGTATACTATCTTAATTGAAATTCAATAAACTTGGAATACTTAGCTTAAATGTTTTTTACGCATCTTTAATTCTTTTTAATATATTTTATTATACATCTTAACTGTTAATTCAATTTATTCCTTGCATCTCCTTACGTGTCTTTTTTCTCTTTTTTTTATGCATCTTATTCTTCTTTTTTCATGTCTTGTTTACACATCTTGGTTTATTCCTCATATTTTTACACACCTTGATCTTTTCCTCTCTTTTTTACAAGACTTGATTTTATTCTTCTCTTTTATTACACATCTTTTCCTCTCTTTTTTACACTTCTTGATTTTATTATTCTCTTTTATTACACATCTTGATCTTTTCCTCTCTTTTTTTATGTGTCTTGGTTTTATTATTCTCTTTATGCATCTTGATCTTTTCTTCTCTTTTTTACGCATCTTGATTTGATTTTATTCCTCCCATTTTTACATATCTTGATTTCATATTTTACATATCTTACTTCCTTTTTTTGTGGGTCTCATTTCATTCCTTATATAATTTCTTCTTTTTATAACATGATATGGGTCTGTTTTATTGCAAGAGTCAATATACAACAGTTAATAATAATTTTATTTATAACTTTATCATCAATCATACCAAAATCTTCATAATTATTTTTGACTACCACATAAATTTCTATTATTCTTTAACCTTATTAAAGAATCTTTCAAATCCCAATTATAATCTTAGAAGTAGTTTTTTCCTTAAAAGAATCTATCTCTAATAGTAAAAAGATTAGTATAAAAGCCAGTTCTATCAGCTTTTTACAATTTATCAAACTCCTTTAATTAGCTGGAGTTTGCAATGGTAAGGTAAGTATAAATTGTGTTCATACTTTTTAGTTATTTGAAAAAACATGAAAGACAGTTAGTTTGTTTAACTTTATAATTCATAAAGTTCTGTCTGAATTTGTTCAGTTCAATATTTGTAATACTAAGCAGTTATAACTTCTGATAAAGTATAGGTGTAGAGAATCTTTTTAATAATTAATAATATGACTATAAGACTTGATGAAATTAAATGAAAGTTTATCACAATTAATACTACTATTCAAATTCTTGTAAGTAATTATAGTTTAACATAATGTAGATGGTATGCTTGCTTAAAAAACTCTGATGAATCTAATTAGGCCAACCAACTTGAAGTTTTAAACTAATCCAAAGCTTCAAATTAATCTGAAACTTCATATATAAGCTCTTTTTCCAGAAGTTTATTATTTAATTCATCTTTTTTTGAAAATGTTAAAACCTGTTTTAAGGAAGTTTTTAATTATTTAGAGGTGATAATTCTATTGACTATATGTAATATGTGTGAAACAGTAGCTTGTGAAATTCATTAACTTGCAGGAAAAAAAATTGGAATACTACTATAAAAAATTTTTATTATGGGTACAGTAATTTGAAATATAATACAATTAAGTTAATTAGCAAATGGTTAGATAGTAAAAAAATATTAGCAGTTTAGATAATAATGTGGAGTAGTGGCTATTATATGAGTTAAAGCTTAGTAGACTTAACAAGCAGGCATGTTTTTTTATGCCTTTTCTCTCTTGTAACAACTTGCTATTCTATTATTTTTTACTTTCATTTTTATTTAACCAGCCAGTTCTTTCTTATATATTATTTTACAATAATATAATAAAGAAATTTAGCTTTCATTAATTTATTTAACTTTGTAGATGTAATAATATAAAAATTTGATTTAAATGTAAATAAACTAAATATTAAAAATACTTTAAAAATATAAATTCAAAGTTTTATTTAAATGCCATATTCCAGTAAAAAGATTTTATTCGATTTTCATATAAAAAATGTAATTTATTATAAATTTTTAAAAAGAATTTATGGTCACGTTTCCCATATCATAAATAAAATGCAGATTTATTTATTTAATTATTAACAACACGGGTGTGACATAAATAAATCGTGACTGAAATTTGTGTTCAATTTGTGTTCAATTTGTGTTGATAATTCTGGTAAAAAATTATTAATTTTGGCCAAATTTCGTTAAATTTGTTAAATTTGTGTTGAGTTTGTGTTGAATTTGTGTTGCGTAATTTTTTATTTATCACAAGAGGATAATATTTAGTAATTGCATGTACAACGTACAAGATTTTTTTTTATGATTTTTTTAAGAAATGTACGCAAAATATTTAATCAGAATATAATTGTTTTATTTTTAAATATGATATATTGATGATTTTTTTTTTAAAAAAAAAAATTGATTTTTTTAAAATTCAATAG